GGGGGGGGGGGTCCGTTGTGCTCATTGCGCCTCGGCGGCTCTTGTGTGCGCTTGCGGCAGCTCTTGTGTGCGCTTGCGGCAGGGCGGATGGAGCGGGCAGATGGATGCGAGCGGACGGTTGCATTGATGGCGGGATGCGGCCGCGGCGGAGACCGGCCAATGGGGCGGCGGCATCCCGAACGTGTGCAACGCGGGCGGCGGGCAGGTGGGATCGGGCCGAACACGTCAGCACCACCGCGCGTCGACCGGCACCCCCGCAAACAGCCCCTAAACCGGCGCATACCACTCCATACCGTACAAAACTATACCTCTTGAGAGACTGAGATCAGCCAAACCGCGAATACTCGCTATAACTTTTATCTCTTTTCTTCCTCTACTCAATGCAACCTTTGCCTCTGTGATAAAAGGGAGTGCCCCCTGGCCAGGAGACGGGTGGTGAGCGATGTACAGTGCGCGAAACTGTAATAAATGCACTCATCGACAGGAACATAAAAGACACTTCCTATAATCTTTGCAGACGAAATGCATTCCCACAGAAGCCGCAAAACAGTGTATAACTGCCCGTAGAGGCTATCATCGGACACCCCATTCTCTAACCACTACTGCATTCCTAACCGGATTAGTTAAATTTTGCATAAAGTTATCATGTCCGGGCATGACGAGCACTCGTGAGCGAATATCTCAAACACGAATAGACGCCGCATCAATCTGATTGCATATTCGAATTACCCGCCCTCTCTTTGTCCACACCAGATTCCCCAACCCAAATCGACAACACTTGAGCCATCAGCACCTATGACTTTCCCCATGAAGCACCCTCCTCAGCTCTGAAGTAGCCCGCCTGCTACTCTCACACGCAACTACCCCCGATCCCGATGGTCCACTCTACGCCTTTCCGTCGCCTCCCAAAGACTGACAAAGAACTTCGGTTGGACAACGCCCGTCGATACGTCATCAACAAAAAGGGCTCCCTGGGCGCCGCGGCTCGCCTGTTTGACATACCTTGGTATACATTAAGGGTACACTTCAATGCGCCAGACAGGATCCCAAAAATCGCCGGGCATCCCACCACATTGCGCCGGGCAGAAGAAGTTCTCATCACGGACTCTGCCATAGAGTTCGCGCGCAATGGCACGCGTTTATCTCGGGAAGGACTCAAGGACCTCGTGCAGCACTTTTGCGAGCCCTTGCCAGAAAAACGACGTGCAACAATCCTTTTTTTGTTAACCTCCGTCCCGGGGATAATTTTTTATCGGGGTTCTTCAGGCGAAACCCCACGCTCTCGCTCAAACGCCGCTGAAATATCGAAAAGAACAGGTCGATTGCGATGTGCCCGAGAACATTGCCAAACATTACGCACGCTTGCAGCAGGCCTACGATGAATACGGAGTCAAGAGTGGAGAGCAGATATTCAACCTTGACAAGACCGGCTTTGCGAAAAGAACAGCCTACTGCGCGCGTGCGAAAGGTGTCATTGAGGCCAAGGGTAGGAGAAATTCAACAGAATTGAAGTGGTCTGCCAATGCCGACCATGTAACACTCATGCCGATGGTGTCTGCCGGCCGTCGCGCGTGGGATCTTGTTGCTATCGCATCTGGAAAGCGTGCAGAATATCTCATTCGGCCGGATGACATACGCGAGACCCCTGCTTGTTACCTTCCCGAGAATGCGCGTATTATTTCTCCAGACCCGGCTGGCATGGACAGTGATGGGTTTTACCAATTCTGTGAATGGTTCATCTTACAGACTGCAGTACTGAGAAGAAAATGTCGCAACATTTTATTAACACTGGACGGATATGGTGCGCACAAGACATTCCGGTGTTTAAATTTGTTGCGGCAGAATAAGATTGTCGTCATTGCATTGCCTGCACATTCTAGTCACAGGACGCGGGTCCTTGACTTTTCGATATTTCCCCCGTTCAAAACAAAGCTTCGAAATGCACTGAATGAGCGCATCTTGGCGCCGGAAGGATCTATCCGTAATGATATATATACTCCATGCCAGTTGATTCGTAATGCGTACAAGGAGTCCGTCACAAATTCTAACATTGTAAATGGCTTCAAAGCCTGTGGTGTATGGTTCGTGTAGTACAACTCTCCTCAAACCCTAGCGGGCGAGAGGCTCGGAGGATGAGCCGAGGGAGCTCGCGACGCGAGACGCGCGGCGCGCGGTTATTGAACGGCCGGACTTGCGAAAAGGGAGTGGCACACTGGCCGGTTACGCGCAGTCGTCCCGAGGTGCTAGATCGGAGACGACCGGTAACGGGTTAGAAGCCAACGCGCGAGAGAATACCGAAACGGCAGTACGTAGGCGCGAAAGGGAGGGGGGCAAGTCTGCCCCCCGTGTTTACTGCGAGGACGGTGTCCAGGTCTTAACCCCTCAGAGGGACGCCCGGGACACCTGTCCAATACAGTACCTGTCACTTACTGTGGACCAGGTACTGTACGCGATTGAAAATCTAGCGCCGTCATTACACTACCGCACGGATCCTCACACTACGCGCTTGCATTACACTGCGCGCGCATTATCCCCACACGGTTCCTTACACTACACGTGTACCCAAGCGTACACCTGTCACTTGCTGCGCCCGTTCGGTAATCATACGTATTACACGTGGGCCACGGTGCCCCGTGCTCGCTGCGCGCGGCCGCTCCTACTGTACACCGACCGCGGATCGGTCGTTGTACCACAGACCCCCTTCCTTATCTGTCGCCACATCCTCGTGGCGACCACATTTTCTTCCCAGCGGTCCCCTCGATCTCTTCCACAACCTGTGCGTGCGATGACCGGACGGAAGCCTCTTTGCGCGGACGAGCACGCCTCGTGGCTCTTCACCGACCTGACGGTATATAAGTCGGGTATATCGTCCGATTCGGATAGCGCGGCTTCTGTCTCCTCCCACGCGAACCCCCCAGAACCACCAACTCCAACACAGCACTCCCCCACACTTCACCAACACTCCTCCATTCCTTCCCCAGACGACGACATTCCTTTATCCCAACTCTTCCCACGACCGACCATGGACCACAGCAGCACCCCCGTGGACGCGCTTCCGATCGGTGCGCCGTCGAGCCCCGGGAGGGCTCCGGCGTTACCCGGGTCGACTCCCGCGTTTCAGCCGCAGCGCGCTCGCCGCGGCGGAACAGAGTCGACCACCAATTTGGCCGAGCCCGCGACGCGCTCGCGAGCTGATGCGTCCGATCCGGTCGCTGCGCCACCGATAGAAGAACGACCGACCTGGCCCTCGCCGCTGCCCTCCGAGGGTGTGGCTCCAAGGACAGTTGAGGCGGGTCCGGCGTACCTCGCGGTACTAC